AATATTAGTATGATTTCTGAAGGATCATGCGACACTGAATACTGGAGTAATGATGCTGAAAATTCAGCTTTGCATCACAAGAATAAATGACATTTAAAATATATGCAAATAGAAAACAGTTACTGTAAATTGTAATAATATTTTGCAATATTATTGTATACTGTATTTTTGATCAAATAAATGCATCCTAGGTGAGCATGAGAGACTTATTTCAAAAACATTTAAAAAATCTTACCGACCCCAAACCTATGAAAGGGTTATAATTGTTAAAGGAAAGAAAATGTTATTTGACACAAACTTTAACTAATATAAAATACATAAAAAATCCTTTCAATATTTCAGTTAGTTGCAACATTTCTAATTTTCATTTAGTTTAATGTAGTACTAAAACAACTGAAATTAAATCAGCTAAAACTAATACATTTAAAAAGAAATATTTAGAAAGAAACTAAAACACAACAAAATGACTAAAACTTTAACTAATATTAAAGTGAAAAAAAAGAAGTTAAAATTGTGAAAAAAAAAAAGACCAAATTATTGCCAAAAACTATATCAATGATACTAATATGACAGTGATTTGGTGCTAGTCTAAATGGAAGAGGCAGCAAAACTAGTGAGGCTGCTGGCATTTTCAACAGGGAGAAAGCAGCTCATGATTTATCCATTAGTCTTTCACTGCATGTACCTATTCTAAAAATGAGGTCATCCTCGATCGGGTTCACTCTCTTTTTTGGGGTGCTGAACAAGCTTCCTCCCCGTCTGACGCCCTTCTGCCGGCTTCTGCTCCCCGGGGACTTTGCGCTCCGTTTCCGCGCCCCACCATCGCTGGAACCCGTGGATGCAGCATTGGCTGCGGTGGTGGTGGGTGGAGAATCATCCGGAGAGCTGGTGACCTTTATCTGGAAGGGGCTTCCTTTAATATGCTGATCATAAAGTCTAAGCGCTAGACTAAAATGTCCCTCTTTCTTCACCGTGTATTGGAATTCATACGTTCCATTTTTATGGTCCACAATTTCGCCGTCTGCAACGCTGCCATCCGGCGTGCAGACTTCAGCTGAGATGATGGCGTTACCCGTCTTACACAGTCCTCCAGACTTGTCTCTTGTGGTTATGACGACAGTTGCCGGCTGGCCCACGACGCACTGTTCCAGACCCTCCCCCGACGCCTCGGTCTGACTGGCCACGGCACTGGTGGTGACGATAGTCCCCAGGTTGTGGATGGACTTGCGAAGTCCTTCGATCTCCATCATGAGATCCAGCTGGTCGTTCTCCTCAGGCTGAAGAGGAAGGCCCTGGCTGGCCAGGTCACCGAGTCTCTCTCCTACGTCTTTATGGGTCTGCAGTATGACAGCCTTGTTTTCCCCGTCCAGGGCTTCACCGGTCAGACTGCAGTTATAGTTGATGGCAGCTTCCTCCTGCAGAAGAGTGTCCAACTGAGCCTGCAAAACCTTTAGGATACACAAAAGTAAGCATGAGCAATGTTTCAAAAGATTAGCAGCTTAATTCAAATTCCTACGTTTTATCTCTATTGTATTTATTTTTATTCAATTAACATGCTAATATATTTTTAGAAATGTTAATTTAATAAATATACATGACCGTAAACATTTGGGTTTTTTGAAATAAATTTAAACTTTTATCATCAAAGAAAGGTTCTCACAAAATGATGTTTTCAACATAATAATAAGAAATGTTAAAAAAAAAATCAGCATATAAAAACAGTCATATAGAAAACATAATATATCACAATCTTACAGTCTTTACTGTATTTTTGATCAAATAAATGCAGCCTTGTCGGGGTTATTATCATTAACTGAAACTTAAACCAAAACAAATTCATTATTTCAGATTCATTGTTTCAATTCAAATTCATTACTGGAAAATAAGCATTAACTGACGTAAAATAAAATATAAAAAACTTTAACTTATTTTATTACAGCTAGTTGCCAAAGCAACAGCTTTCATTTTTGTTTAGTTTAGGTTGTACAAAAGTACAAAAATAACTAAAAATAAAAATAAACTAAAATTCAATAAAAACTATATAGACATATTTAAAAAAAAAAATGATAAAAATGACAAAAACACAATTTGAAATTACTAAAAGTAATTACAATTAAAATCTAATTCAAAATATTAACAAAAGCTATAATATATATCAATGATACTAAAATAACACTGAGCCTTCAGTAATATTTCAAAACATAAAAAAAAATTACCCCAAACTTTTGAAATGTAGTGTACACTAAATACATGTAAATATATTTAGTAAATTTATTAAATACCAAAAAGTATGCATATTTAAACAAACTAAACAAAAACAGACTAATTTGTGCTTGCCAACATTTTTGTGAAGCATGTATTTTACAGTATCATGCTGTTAGTTTAGCAACATGCAAACAATTGTGAGTTGAATCTTCTGTGCACATACCTTCTGCTTCAGTCCATAAGTGACTTCCAGCTCCATGAGCAGGACGCTCTTGCGTGTATCGAGGGTTTTGTGCAGCTCGCTGAAGGAGGAGTGGATGTCTTCCTCTATGGAGCTCCGCTGAGAGTTCAACTGCTGCAGAATGTCTCTCAAACTCTGGACTGCCCGTCTTATCTGAGGAAGCCTGTGAGTTAGTTAAATAGGTCCGTTAAACGTCCATTCATCTGTCTATTCATCCATCTACCATTACTGAAGACATAAACACTAAATCATTAAGCAATCAGTTAATGAATTAAGCATTAGGAGATAGATTTTTTTCTTAGTCTGAGGCCCACACGTAATCTACAGACTTATTCTTTTTTTCTGTACTGATGGTAAGGCAAAATTTGTGGAATTGATTTAAATATGGTCAAATGTGTGGCAAATTTGATGTTGAAAAGGATGAAAGTGTCACAAGAGGTACCTGTGTAACAGGCCTTCTTATTTGTAAACATATTTATTTTACAGTACTGAGAATGACATGATGGGCATTAAGGGAGCACCTGTTCTTGGCTGAATCCACTCTGTCCTGTAATGCCGCTAGCTGTTGGTCCACAATATTTTCCAGTGAATCGGTGGGGTGCTCAGCATGTTCTCCATTCATACAGTCCTCACATACTGAATTCTCACAGGCCAAACAGTACAACACAGACACCTGAATACAGCACAGAAAAATTCAAAACCATTTTAATAAATGTACTAAAACATGTCAATAGATTTTGTAAAATTGTTTTTTTTTTTAAATCATATTTGCCATTTCATTTTTTTTAACTAAATTTATTTATATTAAAATCATTCTGAAAACGTTAAAACGGTTTCTGTAAATTTTTAAAAACATATTTTTGTAAGCACATTTTTCTCTCTTTCTTCTATGTTCTATTTAAATTTTTACTAAAATGATTTCTATTAAAAATTCTATTCTAAATCTTTCTTTTTATATTGTTTTCTAAATATATTTCTAAATATAATTCTTATCTATTTTTTTTTTCTAAAACCATTTCTATTACAATTCATCATTATGTAAAGTAAAATTTGAACCTACTTCACGAACGCAAATGGATTATATGAATGAAATTAATATATATAATATAATATAATTAAAAAAAACATTATACAAATTGTGAGAAATACTTTCTGTAGGAACAGTCATCCTAAATGTTCCCTAACCTATTAGCTTCATTTTATATTCAACATGATATTTATAGAGGAACCAGCTGAGATCAGGGTACACTTGTTTTTCTGGGACAGAAAGCTTATGCTCATGGGAAAACACTGCCTGTGAGAGATATTTCACCCATCTGTGCAATCATTTTATGGTGTGTGTGTTTATGTGAATGTGTGTATTGAAATAGGTCTCACTTTTCCTTTGTGTTGAGAGCAAATTAGCGCTGTTCCCTTGCCAGGCAGAGCCTCTAGTACAGTACATTCCTCACTGCTGCTGTCAGGAGAAGCCTGCTGCGCCTCCATGCGGTTGGAAGATGTAACTGCACCCACAATACAAGGATGCAGAAAGCACAAACCTAAAACAGGATAAAAACGATATGGGACATCCTTAACTAAGAGTTTTAATAGTACATTATTTTTTGAGGAAAGTAGTTTGATGATTATTAATTTAAACTTTAAAAGCAACTGTATGTCGTTTTCTGTGTTTTTGCGACTTTGAAGCCCCTATAGCTAAGTGAGTGGAATTATGTAGTTAGTCATAATTACATGGATAGCTGTACACATGCATTTGTTGCTGCCGTAAAGCAATCATCCCTTTTTGTGGAACTTCATAACCATTTACCAAACTTACATACTCCCATGAAATCATTCTCCTTAGAAGTCAGTGTAGAATTAAAATGATTTTGAAATTGATATTTAAAGGCAAAAACGTACATACAGTTGCTTTAATTTTCATAAGTATGACTATATCTCACAAGTGTGATTTTATTTCATATTTTAAGCTATATTTCACAATTACCTTTCATATTTTTTACTCTGTGGTGGAAACGGGCTTCCATAGTGAAGCCTATGCCAAAAAAGGTGGAGAAACAGTACTGAACATCTAAGAATTCTAAAAATCATGCCAAAATATGTTCCATTAGTTTCCTAGTGGTTCTATACCAATATAGACATTAAAAAAATGTGATTTTAATATCTGCAAAGGCACAGGAAAATGTTGCTAATATTAAGTACAGACACCACAAAGGAAAAAGGGGAAACCAATTTGCCATTTTGCAGTACTGGAAATATTTTCCATAAAAAATACAGCATAAAAGCCACAAAGTTAGTGGAAGTCAGGTTAAGTATTTAACATAAGCATATAACAGATGAAGAAATCTAGTCTAACGTAGAGTGAAGACTACATAGAAAGAAGTGTTTCTCACCTTAGAGAGATGAAGCTCAGGCGTTGTGCATATAAATGTGTGTATTCTTATATAATGCAGAGATATTAAGGGAAGAAGGTGTATTTGATCCACTGGAGACACAAACAGACCACAGGTTGCAGGGGCCAATTGCAGTCTCCCCTCATTTGACACTGGGCCCTACGGAAAAAGAGGGATCAGAGATGAAAACACACACATTAAAAAAAAAAAACCTGTAGAATGTAGAAAAGCAGGAAAAATAGATACACAACCATGTATCTGTATGTGTCCAAAAGCACATGGTATTGCCACGATACCATGGTAAATGAACTTATATCGAACATGAATGAGAGTTAAAAAATAATCTCACTGGGTTACACCAAATTCACAGAGACCTACAGGTTACTATGGTAACCTAAGTTGGCAATTCACAAGTGCTGCAGTCACATGAATATTTTCGCATTCTGCAATTTATGTTCTGAAAGCACGTTAATGAGCACAGTCTCATGGCTGAAGTATTTCTGGACACATTTCAACAGGATGCTTTTTATGACTTCAACTGTTATAATAATAAGAAATGTTTCTTGAGCATCAAATCAGCATATTAGAATGATTTCTGAATCATCGTGTGAACATGATGTTGAAAATTGAGCTTTGACATCACAGGAATAAATTAGATTTCAAAATATATTTAAACAGAAAACGGTTATTTTAAATTGTAATAATTTTTCACAATATTACTGTTTTACTGTATTTTCGATCAAATAAATACAGCCTTGGTGAGCATAAGAAACTTCTATCAAAAGCATAAAAAAATCTTACCGACCCCAAACTTTTGAACAGTAGTGTATAATACCACAATCCACCACAAAATATGAGCACAGTGTTAAAAAGGTGTGTGAAGTTCACTTTGTTCACTGCCTATTTGTTGTTATCAAGTCCAGCTGCTGAATTAAATATGTAAGTTTTAATATATTGAAATACTACTCTTTACCACATTAACTTAATTAATAATTTACAGAAGGCTGTAATATTCTGACCCAGAATACTGAAGAAGACACACAAGTCCGTTTTTTGTTTTTTTGAGGTTTACCACGATCATTGGTACTGATTTTAGACGTGTATTTTCCCAACAGATGGGGTCTCTCTTTCTTCAGTCGAAAAGAAATGAAGGTTTTTGAGGAAAACATTCCAGGATTTTTCTCCATATAGTGGGCTTCAATGGGGATCAGCGAATTGAAGGTCCAAATTGCAGTTTCAGTGCAGCTTCAAAGGGCTCTACACGATCCCAGCCGAGGAATATGGGTTGGCGAAACAATCAGTCATTTTCTAAGAAAAATACAATTTATATACTTTTTAACCACAAATGCTCATCTTGCACTAGCTCGACTTCACGCATTACTTAGTCACGTTGGAAAGGTCACGCGTTACATAGGTGGAAATACCGTTTATAAAGCGAACATGCAAAGAAAGTCAAACGCCCTTTACAAAAATAAAAAAAAGGCAAAACAACGATGTCGGACGATTTTGAAGTTGGAGGTGAAAATGAGATTTGAAAAATCTGAAAAAATGAGTTTTTCACCCTACCCTCCTTTTTGAACCGAAGTACACAGATGAAGAACTAACCATGCGTGACCTTTCCAATGTGATTACGCAATGCGTGAAGACGCACATGCGCATCGCAGAGATGAGCATTTGTGGTTAAAAAGTATATCTTTTTTTTTTATGAACGATGGTTTCGCTAGATAAGACCCTTGTTCCTCAGCTGGGATCGTGTAGAGCCCTTTGAAGCTGCATTGAAACTGCAATTTGGACCTTCAACCCATTGGCCACCATTGAAGTCCATTATATGGAGAAAAATCCTGGAATGTTTTCCTCAAAAAACTTAATTTCTTTGCGACTGAAGAAAGAAAGACATGAACATCTTGGATGACTTGGGGGTGAGTAAATTATCAATAAATTTTTATTCTGGAAGAGAACTAATCCTTTAACAGCTTCCATGCATGCCCACTGTAAAAACAGACAGTGAATTTTGAATGGAATGATGTTTCCCATGTTGTCATGCAAATGGTTTAAAAGGCACGCAGAACACGATTAAACGACTAAACATTACAATAATGACTCTATTTGCTTTGGATTACAGTTGCTTTAGTCATTTATTTCCCACAGCATTTTTAGTTTTCATTGAAAAGGTAACTGAAATGGGGTCACAACTTTGTTTTCTGAGCTTTGAATCTGTAACTACAAGCACTCATATTCAATGTGTTGTGATAGAACCCCACATAATCACTATAAAATTATTCAAAATACACTACTACTCATGAATATTGATAAAGTAAATTACTTGGGAATTTAAACTTGAATGGGAATGAGGTCACAGGGGAATTGAATCGGATGAAAAGATAATGCTCATATGATGATGTAATACAAGGAAATGGAATATTGAGCTGCCATATGTCATTACTCTTCAGACAATGCCATCACAAAAAGCTCTCAGTGTTAGAACCAGAGCCCCTCTTTCCATCTCAGAGATCATAATGACAAAGGACAAGGAACCATAAGGATCCTGGCAAAGGCCAGCAAGCGATTTTGTGAAGGACTATTTAGAGTTACTGAAGCAGAATCTCCCCAGGGTAAAACCACTTATGCATTCTGGAGAGAAGATCCAAAAGCACCCGATAGTTTTCCTGTCAGCTCGCAGAACGAAAAGGACATGTCATTCTCATGATGGCACAAGCACTAACCTGTCATAACCATGAGCGTTCACAGCCAGTGTTACATGTTACAAATCTATAAATTAAAAGAAAAGAAAAGAAAAGAAAAGAAAATGAAAAATTTGGTATAATATTGGGCCTCAAAAATAGTGGTCAGTGAACATAGGTGCTAAACTTTGAGAAAACGTAGATAGTCAACCTCAGAATCCTTTAAAATACTATCAAGCTAACCAGTGAGCAAACTAGCTATTTAGTCTACTAACCATTTATCTTGTTATCTTAACTTTGATTAGTCAGCTAGCTTAGCACACTGCTAACTTAATAACTTGCAAGCTTAAAGGAACACTCCACTTTTTTTGAAAATAGGCTAATTTTCCAACTTCCATTCAGCCGATCTCCGGGTCTAGCGGTAGCCCTTTTAGCTTTAACTCTAGGGGAGTTGGAAAATTAGCCTATTTTCAAAAAAAGTGTAGTGTTCCTTTTAAAATACTGCTAGCCGATTAGCCTTGTAGCTTTGCTGCCATTGCTATAAAACAATAAGCAAAACTGCAAAACTGCTTGATTATAACTGGGATTCCCAAACTTTTTGACAGCAAAACAACTAAAAATATTTCTTATTTTAGTAAGTTTTTTTTATTTTTATTTTTTATTCTTTTTTCAGTTGATAATGATTGAGTAACTATTAGCTTTTCATCAACTCTTTTCATAACTCTAATTACAGTTATGGAAATCTTGGCCTGGATGAAAATTTATTTGACAAACAACAAACTTTTATTTGAAGTCAGGATGAAATAGTAAATTAAATTGACTAGATTGTTTGCTCGTGCCAGTGTACACGTCATCATAGAAGAGATGTTGTTATGAGGGGGAGGGTAAGTTAATGTTTTTAATTAAAGATTATAAGGGTAACAGATTAAGATTAAAGATTATGAATGAAAAAAGTCACAAGGCTCTGAGATGGTATTTAAATACAATTCCAATACTGCAGCCTGGTCTGGAAACACTTAAATGTGAAAACAAATGACCTAGGATTAGGAAAACGCCTGGAAGTATAATTAAGAAACACCCACTTCACTCTCAGTTCGCTTTCATCTGAAGATGGTAAAGGTAGGAAGAGGTCCACCACTATACTTTTGTATTGATTTGCTGGTGGGTTGATTCACTTAGATGAAACATCCTGAAAAAGGAGGATAATTTACATAGACTACTGTTGTAGGCAGCAGGAAACTGGTTCACTGCAGTAAGTCTTAAAGAACAATGTAGGAAAGCCATCAGTTCTTATGTGGCCATATTCAAAAAACCAAAAAAAAAAAGGAATGCCAGATGCCTTCAGACAGATACAGCGTTCAATGCTGAAGGTGCCCAAATGTCGAAGCATGTGTTCTCTGATCCATGCTTTGTGTCCTGGTTCTGCCAAACAGCACTGAGGCTGCCAAAGAAGACTATGGACAAGAACCAGTCTCTGACAAGGAGACTGTAAATTTTAAGAAATGGTTCCTACTCTTGGAAAAGGGAGAAGTGATGCAATCAGCCTGGCTGCAGAGCAGTAGCTGACATGAAGGGCATGCACTTCCATCACAGTTTAAAACCCTGGTCTGCGTTTCCGCAATAACATTAAACAATAAATTAAAATATCTGTCTGTCTATCTATCTATCTATCTATCTATCTAATAGTTTATGTAAAATTCTATATACAAATTAGATTTGTGCCTTTATTGCTTTAAAAAAAATCCTCAGTCTTCCCTAATTATGTAAAGTGCTTCCAACTTCAATCACTTATTGGTACTTGACTTTTCTAAGAGACAGAAGCATCATTTTTTACACATAAAACGAATTAATTTGTATACACATGATATATTTCACAGCATATCAATATTTATATATTTTAAATAAATATATTCTATATATTTATGGTATACTCATAATGCGTATTTCTGTATATTTACTGTATTTTTCTAAGCAAGCATGCAATTACAAAATACTATGTATTACAGATTTTGAAGCAAATTTCAGTGCAAAGACAAACGTCTGATTTCCTGTTTTTTTTATGTCAGATTGATTGCATTTAGGCCAAGGAGCACAGCATATTGACATCGTGCTAAATCAGTACATTAGAGGCTGCCAGCAAAAAAATATAAGTGTATGTGAAAGCCTGACAAATGAAATCAACAGAATATTAGATTAGGTGCAGAGCTGAAAAAATAAATAGCAGTTTTGCTACACATGAGGCCTATCAGAAAGATGCAACATTCACTTTCATTCTAAAAAATACCTGATATTGTATGATTGCATGAGTCATATGCAGTCTTCAATAGAACAGTGAAGGTTAAGTTCAGGCTTCATGCATCACATGCACCAAAACCACTTGATCTAAAGAAACAAGCCTGCGAACGCAACAGTACTATCTTCCATCACAGTGTATATGTGAGCATCCATCTCCTCTCCTCTCCTCTCCTCCTCCTCCTCTCCTTCCACCCCACCCCCGTTCTTGCTTCCCATGGAAACATGGTGCGTTGGTGTATCGCAGATGCTGCTGCATAATTCCGCGACTGCAAAACAACCAGCCTCCCTTTCTGTGCTGTCCTCTATGTATCTGTCTGTATTTTGGGTCTTACCTTTCCTCCATAGCTGCGTAGCTTCAGATGCACCAGCGCTACAGGAGCTTCTTGCCTTACTCATCAGCCTGAGACCCATTTCCCGTAGAGGAGGGGTGGGGGTTGTTTTGCACAGTCTCTTTTCGCTTCTGTTCACTCCCCCTCTCTCTGCACTACAGCGACATAAGCAACTCACACCAGCATGCCGTAGGGGAGGAGCCAGGCGCTCAGTAGCCAATCACAGGACAGGAAGCACAGACTGACTGACTGAAGCAAATAATCTCCGTGCTCTCCCTCTACCTTGATTTTTTTCTCTCTGTGTCTCCTCTCACACAAAAAACACGATTAACCCTCTGGTATTCAAAGCAGACAACAAGGTTTATTATTATTATTATTATTTTATTTTATTTTTAATTATTTAAAGGAGACATATTATGCCCCTTTTTACAATATGTAATATAAGTCTCTGGTGTCCCCAGAATGTGTCTGTGAAGTTTCCGCTCAAAATACTCCACAGATCATTTATTATATCATTTTGAAAATGCCTATTTTGAGTGGAAGCAGAAACAAGCTGTTTTTGGGCCTGTCTCTTTAAATGCAAATGAGTTGCTGCTCCCTGCCCCCTTTTCCAGAATAGAGCTGCGCCTGCAGACACGGTGTTACTCACCTATCGAGAAGAAACAAAGCAATCTCAGCGTCCGATCGCAGGCCTTCCGCTCCTAGCTAATGTCCGTCCTGTGCACTGAACGCTCTCTCCTCCACATCATGAGTAGACACGCCCCTTACTGCTGATTGGCTACAAGTTTGTTTTGCTATTCGGCCAGAATCAGTTTTCTAAAAGCATTTTTGAGAAATCGCTTACCCCACCTTTAAATGTATTCTTTAACATTTTGCATCTTCAGGGGATTTGATGGTACAAGACAATATTCACCTATAAATTATTATACCATTTATTTCTATATTTCTATATAAAATATGTTGAAATTAACATATTATTCTATTTAAGTTAAATGTAGAGCAAAGGTATTTAAAATCCAATGCATGGAAGACAGAAAAATTATACCATATGTAATGCCTGTTTGCCTGACTGATAAGTAGATTTAATTTAGTTAATAGGTTAATTTAATTAAATTTAATGAATGTAGATTTAATTAGATTTAAGACGAAATTATAATGGTAATTCACAAAAAAACACACCTTTACATTGCATGTAAAGTTTTTTTTTTTTTTGACGGAATATGTTTTGGCAGTTGCATACTTGTTGACAATGTCTTGGATGAATACATTTGATTTTTCCAGTCAAACCAAAGAGAGCATTGAGGAACTTTTGAATGCTGCCCAAGTAGGAAAATATGAGTGGGACAGCCTGGTACTCTCACTGAACACATCTCAGTGTCATTACAACTGCTGGACAATGCACAATGCAGATATACACACTTACACAAAAACACACACCCAAGTGAATAAAACTAAACAAAAGCCTCTGAGATCACAAAAACACACACACATAATGTGCATAACAGTGCATAATGTTAAGACCTTTCATTTGATTCTGTTTGATTATTCACAGCATGAACATTAAGACACTGAGCTTAGTAAGCACTGGAGTATAGTGACAAATTCTGATTTACTTCTAAACAAGTAAACCATCCTTCACAATCCTAATGATTTGTTTATCTAAGTCAGGGGCCTTCAACTCGTTGCTCGCGCGCTGATTGGAGGTAGCTGGTCAAGACATAGGCCTACTTTTCATCCAATCGGAGTGAGCTAATAGAGCTAATATAACCAGGTCCCCCCCCCCTTTTTTTGACATATCAGCCATGACGTTATTTTAATTATCCCTTTTGTATTTTAATGATCATTTGACCCATATTTGATTGATATTACTGCTCAGCGTTAAGCAAAGTTAGTAAGAGTTTCAAGCAGGTGCAAATTGCAGAGTAGGTTGTGTTTTTCGTGTGAAAGCAACTCTATTTCTGCTGTTACTTAAACGCCACCTGCTGTCAGACAGTGGATTTACATTTTCATTCAGCCTGTATGCCTTTTTTGTTCAAAACTATGCGAATAACGGCCCAAACTTTTGTTGCAAATATTAACCGGTGGATGGAAAATAGTCTACCATGTTATCCGAAGTGTTGAGAGTTTTAGAATGCATATTATCTTATGTAGAGCTGTTTAAGGAACAAATAAAATATAATTTAGCATCCTTTTCATAAAAAAGCTGAAAGGCTGAAAAAAGGTTGATTAAAGGCTGAAATGTCTGAAATGTGAGGTTTATCATTTTATAAATCTTTTTTTTATTATTAAAAAACTTTATTTGAACATATAGTAGGCTACATGTCAGTAGATAACATGTTATGAATATTTTTTGTTATTTCAAATCTGGCCATTGTTTTTAATGTTTTTATTTCAGTGTTTATGCAAACAAAAAGTGCATATAGTGGTGCTAATTTTATTTGTTGGTTTTCGGCATAAAACTTGGTAAAATAATTTCAGTGTGTATCATTTTTTAACATTTCCAGCACATTTTAACACTACCGTGTAGGCTATAACAGTTTGGATCGATACGTTATTTAAGAAATATATGTATTGTATACCATGGGTAGCTCTCAGCCACATTCATTTTTAAAAAGTAGCTCTGAGAACCCTGAGATAAGATATTAAAGTCAATATCAAGGAGTCATTCAAGGTTAGGCTTGTTAAGTTAGACAGTAAATGGCAGGTTTTATAGCAGTACCCTCTCCTGGTAGATGTCGTAACTACACCATCAAGGTTTGTGTTGTTCATTAAAGTCCCCCTGTTGTCACTTTATCCCTTAAAACACATATAATCAAAATTACATACGATAGGTGCAGTAGGTAATTGTCTTCAGAAACATTTTTTGTTATGCTGGTTGAAAGTCTCTTCACATCCCGATA